CTGAGGGTTTCGAGAACCACCCTCAGATGCTCCTCGTGCTCCTTCTGGCTCTTCGAATAGATAAGGATATCGTCAATAAAGACAATAACGAACTGATCGAGGTAGGGATGGAAGATACGGTTCATGAGGTCCATGAAAACAGCTGGCGCATTGCTGAGACCGAAAGGCATGACAACGAACTCGTAATGGCCGTAACGAGTCCTGAACGTGGTCTTAGCGATGTCTGACTCCTTAATCTTCAGCTGATGGTAGCCTGATCGTAAATCAATCTTCGAAAATACACAGGCTCCCCTCAACTGATCAAATAAGTCGTCGATGCTGGGAAGCGGATACTTATTCTTGATCGTCAACCGGTTAAGATCCCGGTAGTCGATACACATACGCATGGATCTGTCCTTCTTCTTAACAAAGAGAACGGGTGCTCCCCATGGTGACACGCTCGGTCGGATGAAACCGAGTCGTAATAACTCCTGAATCTGGGTCTTAAGCTCCTGCAACTCCTTAGGCGCCATACGATATGGGGCTTTGGATACTGGACCGGCCCCTGGGATAAGATCAATAGAAAACTCCACCTGACGGTTGGGCGGTCCTCCTGGAAGCTCGTCTGGGAACACGTCCACAAACTCGCGAACGATTGGAACATCATGAGGTGTTCGCGCTTTCTGAGAATCGTCGACAAGGCTAACCAGATAACCCTGGCAGTTGCCTTGTCGCAGTAGCTTAGTGGCTTTCGCCATCGAAACAACCTGAGACAGTGAACGATTATTCCTGGAGCCGAAGAAAGTAATCGACTCGTCTCCCGGAAGATAGAGAGTGATCTCCCGGTCATGACATCTGATGTCTGCATGATAAAAAGATAGCCAATCCATCCCGAGAATAAGATCGAAGTCTCTCATCTCGAGAACAAACGCGTCGGCAGTCAATACTTGGCCACCGATGGAAAGGCTAAGATCTGAGGCTTTAGCTGAGGTCACTATCTTTCGTCCCGAGGCTAAACTCACCTCGAGAGGATCAACAGCGGTAACGGCGTGAACTCTGATGGCATCGAGACATCGGCGTGAAATGAAAGTATGTGTCGCTCCAGTATCGAATAACGCAAATACAGGAATATCATTGAGGACAACCATCCCTGACATAGTACCTGGCTACTGTGCTGCTTCGGCCTGATCGACCGCATAAACCCGGGCCTGCTGCCTGCCCCTCTGCTGCTGCTGCTGCTGAGGCGGCCTCGGTGCCTGCTGACGTGGCTGTTGCTGCTGTGGTGGCTGCTGAAGCTGCTGAGGCTGCTGCTGGAGTCTCTTCGGACAGCGACTCGCAAAATGTCCCGGCTCCTGGCAATAGTAACAGATATCCTGTCCCGCTCGACGCTCTCCCCTGTGAAGTCGACCACAAGTCGGGCACGGTGGAATCGGCTGCTGTCTCTGTCGGGTCCTCCGGTCAGTCGGTGTACCCTTTCCCTTCCTCTTCTTCTCCTTGGTTGGCTGTGGGGCTGGTAAAGCTGGTGGAGCTGCAAATGGCTGAGCTGGAGTAGATGGCTGGGCGCGATCACGAACTGCCTCCCTCCTGATGCTAGCATCCACCTCCTGGGCGATAGAAACAGCACGAGCGTAGGTCTGAGTCCCGTGTCCCACGATGTTATGACGGACTGCTGGGTAAAGTCCGTCAATGAACCGCTGCGCTCTCTGGGCCTCCGTGCGAACAAGATCCGGTGCGAAACCTGCAAGTCTAGTGAACTCTCGCTCGTACTCATCAACAGTACGAGTGCCCTGCTGAAGCACTAAGAACTGGCGCTCCATCTCTGCCCGATAGTAGGAAGGGTAGTACTTGTCACGGACTAGCTCCTTAAACATGTCCCATGTACAACCCGCTTTTTCACCGGGACGCATGCTCCAGTAGGCATTCCACCAGAGCCTTGCATCACCAGTGAGTTGAAGCTGAGCGCAAACTACGCGATACCTATCGGGGCATTCCATAACCTCAAAGATAAACTCCAACCCCTGAATCCATTCATCAACGATGCGGGGGTCTCCCTGCCCTGAAAATTTTTCGGCGTGATAGTCGCGGAACTGGGCGACTACCATAGCCTGAATAGGAGCCTGATGATCGGGTTCTCTACGTGGCGGCATCTGAACATTGAGAAAAATTAACATTACTGAATACGTGATAGCATTACTGACTGATTACTAAGGCACACATATCTCTTGTCGAGTTGCCAAAAAAATGGCCGATAATACTGACGTGAAACCTGAGGAACTCTAGAGTCATATAGGAACATCCTAACGTCTAGAGTCATATCTGAATGCCTGAATTCTAGAGTCATGTCCGAACTCTAAAATCTGAACCTTATTCGAGCATCTTAACTAAAGTCCTGATCCTCAATTCTGAGCATAGACAAAGTAATATGTTTATAACTGAAAAACTGAATCAGCACTTACCTGTTGTCGGCGGGGCGTGAGCATGACGGTTCAGGTTTTTCTGAAAAATTACTGACTGAAAAACTTATCAGAGACGCAGAAACGTGCTCTGATACCACTTGTAACACCCCTCCTTACTGTAAAATCAGAGTGCGCTAAAATTCACAAAGTTATTTAAAAATAAAGCCTTTTACTTTGCGAAAACTGATTCGGGGTGCTACCTTTAAAAATCATGACTTAACTTAGAAAACTGTTGTTTTAATTTTAATAAAAACATCCGGTTACTGAAAACATAAGTTTCTTAAAAGTTCGTCAAAAGTAATAAGTTCATCAACCGAGTACGTCAAAAGTCATCAAAAACATCATAAGTCATCAAAGTATCATAAGCGGAAGCGTAAAATCATCATCATATTATACAGTCCGAAATATAAATGTCCTGAGGTCCCGTCACGTCACGTCATACTCCCGGCCCGACATCCTGACCTGAAAAACATGATAAAACTGGAGAGTGAGCATTATGGCACTGTGCTCCGTGGAAACTCATACTAATGTAAAACATCGAAAATAATAACAACATCATGATATCAGTATATAACCTCAACCTCAAGCCGGTAAAACTGAAATCGTCACTCAAAAGTGACCCTGAAAATGTCATGCAAACATGACCCTGAAATCGTCACTCAATAGTGACCCTGACCGTTACCTCATCTGCCGGCAAAGCCGGACACCATGTGCACACTTTAGTGGGCAGACTAGAGCCACTAGAACCCAGAATGGACCGGCGACAATTCCGAGCGGATGCCTCAACTGAAATACATACCTCAAACATGGTACTGTAATTATAATCAATGTGATACGTAGTCTGAGTCCCCACCTGAATAGCTTACTGAACGGTAGTGCTGATGCCTGCTCAAACTGAAAATAATATAAACAATTACTATTGACTATGCTCAGACTGTTAACTTAACTGATAATTTTTGTTAAGATTCTCTATTTAACTTAACATGATATTTAGACTTATCCGGCATAACCGGAACTGACTTAATCTGAACTGATCGGACATGAATTTACTGAACTGAAATAATCCCGGAAATTTAACTGAAAATGTCCCTAAGACATGAACCGGGCTGAACATAAACGAACCGGACTAAACTGGGGCTGAACCGGACTAAAATGGGCTGAACCGGTCAGTCGGTCTGGACCGGACGGCGGTCCGACCGAACCGGCAGTC